GCAAGCACCAACACATTTTAAATGTAGCAAGAGCGCTACAGTTTCAAGATTTTTTACCTGAAAGTTTTTGAACTGATTGTATTGCACATGCTATGTATTTGATTAATAGGCTTCTTTATCCTATGATTGCTAACCGAACTCCTTTTGAAATTCTTTTTGGTAAAGCGGCAAATTATGATAACTTACGGGTTTTGGGTGTTTGGTGTATGCTTCTACCAAGTGTGTGAACCGGCACAAGTTTGGGCCCCGAGCTCGGTCTTGTGTGTTTCTTGGTTTTGAAAGAGGGATGAAGGGGTATAAGCTTTATGATTTGCAGAATAGGAACATATTTGTATCTCGGGATGTGTTGCTTTATGAAACTCGGTTTCATTTTGCTACAGCTATTCTTGATTGGGATTCCATAGAGTGTAAATCCACTCAAATTGTTTCTTTGCCTATAGCCAGTTTCTCTGGAAGCTCAGGTTTTCCTTCATCGATGATATGACTCAACCTCCTGCTCTTTTTTATTTTTCAGCATGTAGTGAGCCGAGTCTAGTGGGTAGAATACAACAACAAGCACCTAACGCAGTTTCTGAAAATCTAGTTGAACATGAGGCCATAAATAATGAAAATGGTGATACTTTGGTAGGAAATGAAAGTGATGATATTTCTGCAAATTCTCATACTGACCAACTTGTTTTGCATGATGACCACCCAAATAATGAAAATGATGATACTTTGGTAAGTAATGAAAGTGATGATATTTCTGCAAAATTTTCATACTGACCAGCTTGTCTTGCATGATGACCATTCCAATGCTTCTACAAACCAAACAAATATTCTTGAGCAAATTACAACAGATATTGGTACTTCTGATCTCGCTATTTCCAGGTTGCATCGGTCAACATGTACTCGAACTTCACCATCATATTTGAGGGATTACCACTGCAACTTGGTGCGAAATGGTTTACCCGCTTCTTGTGTTCAACTCCAAAACACACCACACTTGTTGCAGCTCGTTATTTCTTATGACAAGCTTTCTCCTGTACACAAACTGTTTGTGTTAGCTACTTCCAGTGTAGTTGAACCAAAGAATTACAATGAATCTATTTGTTTCAAATGTTGACGAGATGCCATGCAAGCCGAGTTGGATGCCCTTCATGTGAACAATACTTGGGTGTTAATCACTCTGCCACAACATAAACGACCTATAGGTTGTAAGTGGGTTTACCGAACTAAATTCCAATCGATGGTTCGGTCGAGAGGTATAAAGCTCGTCTTGTTGCAAAAGGCTACACTTAAACTCCGGGCTTGGACTATTTATATACTTTTAGTCTAGTCGCTAAAGTTACTACGATTCGTACCTTGTTGGTTGTTACTGCAATTCAAGGATGGCATCTTCATCAACTTGATGTTAATAATGCCTTCTTGCATAGCGATTTGCATGAGGAGGTGTATATGTCTTTGCCTCCAGGAGTTGAACCTGAAAAGCCAGGAAAAGTTTGCAAGCTTGTTAAATCTTTGTATGGTTTAAAGTAGGCAAGCAGACAATGGAATGAATAGTTGATTGAAGAATTTGTCCATCAAGGTTTTTCGCAAGCCTTGTCTGATCATTCTTTATTTACTAGAGGGTCTGGGGCATCTTTTATAGCCTTGTTAGTCTATGTTGATGACATTGTTGTTGCTAGTCCTAATTTTTGTCAAATTCAAGAGCAAATGAGTCATATTAATGCTACCTTTGGTATTAAGGATTTGGGCTCACTAAAATACTTTCTAGGTTTGCAGGTGACTCGTAGTCATGAAGGGATAAATCTTTGCCAACGAAAATATGCTTTAGAGTTGTTAGTCGAGACAGATTTTTTGGGTAGCAAGCCAGTTGACAGCTGGATGGTTCTTTCTCCTAAACAACTATATGTTGATAGCCCTGTTTTGTCCGATGTTACTTCTTATAGGCGCATAAAGTTGCTCTATTTAACTATCACAAGGCCAGATAATGCTTTTGTTATGCAACAGCTATCCCATTTACTTGATGCCCCAACAGAAGTTCATTTGCAGGCTGCGCATAGAGTCCTCCGGTATATTAAAGGCTCACTTCGTTAAGGTATTCTTCTTTCAGCTAATTCAACTTTACAAATACGCGGCTTCTCGGATTCTGATTGGGGTACTTGTCTCAAAACCAGACGGTCTGTTACAGGTTATTGTATTTTTCTTGGGGACTCTTTAATTTCATGGAAGTCTAAAAAGCAAGAAACCGTGTCCAAGTCTTCTTTGGAGGCAGAATATCGTGCGTTAGCAACCACAAGTTGTTTTTCATGAGCGTACAAAACATATTGAGATCGATTGCCATTTTGTTCGTGAACGGATCAAGAAAGGAATTTGAAAGTTTTGCATGTTTCAAGTGGCAATCAGCGTGCAGATTGTTTTACTAAACTACATTCTCCCGGATCATTGAAAAGTTTTAAGTCCAAGCTGGGTATTCATTTTATCTGTAATCCAGCTTGAGGAGGGGGTGTTGGAGGTAGTCAATAATTTAAGTAACAAGAGGGTCCTATTGTTTTTCATATTTTCTGTTTGTTGCCTATTTATTAGGCATGTCATTATATAAATTTATGCTTCCTGTATTCAGAATTTTTCAGCTTTAGCTGTGAATAAACCTACATTCTTTATTCTTCCTTTTTCGTGAGCTGCAGTATGCTAAGTATTTAACAAGTTTAGGTCTTTGCAAGCATTCATAGATACATGGGAATGCTTGGGTGAGGATCAGAAGGTATGGAATTTTCAATTTCAGAAAGTCAAGTTAAATTAATTATTTTAAGGTCCCCTCTACGTACATACATATTAAAGGAAAATGATGGAATAAATTATAGCAAGATTCTCGTGCATCAATCTTGGCTACTATAGCGGCACTAAGGCCATTGTTTTTAGGCAACTTTTGTTCGCACGATTCTACTGAGTCCGCTTGTAGAATGTGAGTGGTCGTGGAACGCTGAATAAGCGATTCCCCTACCTCGCTATGGAGTTAAAGCAGTGAGCAAATGGGTGAGGGACTCTTAATAAGCGGTTCCTCCACTTTGTGTAATGAATGTTGAAAGCCAGTCTCCATATGCATGCTGACGACCAGAGATATTGGTTGACAATTGTTATGTGATGAAAAGGAATCAAGAGCAGGACATTGATGAAGTTTATTGATCAAGTGAAAAGTATGGGAATGGTGACTGAATTCGAATACAGAGAAGAGGCAGCTAAGCAGCATATATACAGAGAAAAGAAAAGGCGCCAAGGCCGTTATAACTGCCTAACAAACACGCTAAAGGAAAGGACTAATCTGCCCTTGTCTTCTTGCCTCCATGCTCTAATACCCCCCCCCCCCCCCCGTAAGCTGGAGCGTACAAGTCTTGTATGCCCAGCTTAGATGTGTAGAAGTGGAACTGTTGAGTGGCTAGGGGCTTGGTGAAGCCATCAGCAACCTGGTTGGTGGTGGAAATGGGCAGAAGCTTCACTAAACCTTGCTGAACCTTTTCCCTCACAATGTGGCAGTCAATATCTATGTGTTTGGTGCGTTCGTGGAAGACTTGATTTTCAGCAATGGCTATAGCGGAGTTACTATCACAAAATAGGGTGGCTGGCTTGTCCAGCTTAACGTGTAGATCTTTGAGAAGATAACCAAGCCACTGTATTTCACATGTTGTGGCCGCAAGTGCTCTATACTCGGCCTCAGATGAAGATTTCGATACCGTGCTCTGCTTCTTTGATTTCCATGAGACAAGAGCATCACCCAAGAACACACAGTATCCAGTGATTGACCTTCGACTCTCGCAGCATGAGGCCCAATCAGATTCTGAAAAAACTCTTAGATGAAGCTGAGAATTTTTAGGGAATAGCAGACCTTGTCCAGGAGACTTTTTGATATATCTCAGTACACGATGAGCAGCTATCATGTGTTTATCCGTGGGGGAGTCCACAAACTGACTAAGCTGTTGTACCGAATAGGCAATGTCCGGTCTCGTTGCTGTAAGGTACAACATTCTCCCTACCAGCCTTCTGTAGCAGCTGGGATCTGATAGGGGTACTCCATCATCATGTGATAGTTTGATGCCCTGAGCCATGGGGGTTTCAGCTGGCTTACACTCCAGGAATCCGGCTTCATCTAGTATGTCCAAGGCAAATTTGCGTTGGCATAAGTTCAGACCACCTTCTGTTCTTCGTGCTTCAATACCCAAAAAATAGCTAATAGGACCAAGGTCCTTGATTTTAAACTTGTTGTCCAGAAACAGCTTGACAGAGTTGATGATTTGAACATTAGGACTAGCAGCAATTATGTCATCAACGTAAACCAATAGGGCCACAAAGCTGTCGTCAATGCCTCTAGTGAAAAGAGATGGTTCAGATTTGGATTGCTGGAAACCAATCTGAATCAGGGCTGCACTTAGCTTCGCGTTCCATTGACGGCTTGCTTGTTTCAGGCCGTATAAAGATCTCCAAAGTTTGCAGACTTGATTTGGCTTCTCGCTTTGAAACCCGGGAGGTAGAACCATGTAAACCTCTTCGTTTAAATCACCATGTAAGAAGGCGTTATTGACGTCCATTTGGTGTATTTGCCAGTTCATGGAAACTGCCACTACCAACAGAATACGTATGGTGGTTAATCTTGCCACCGGAGAGAACGTTTCAAGGTAGTCTACCCCAAGTTGCTGAGTGTAGCCCTTGGCCACAAGCCTCGCCTTGTGTCTTTCCACTGTGCCATCGGATTTGAGTTTGAGTTTGAAGATCCACTTGCACCCTATAGGTGTTTTCCCTGGTGGTAGATCAGTAAGCACCCATGTCTGATTGTCTTGAAGGGCCATGATTTCTGCATTCATGGCTTGTTTCCAACACTCATGTTGGACTGCTTGGTTGTAGCTGCGAGGTTCTTTCACTGCAGAGACTGCCAACGAAAACATTCTATGTGCCGGAGCAAGGTTGGCATAAGAAATCACCTTTGAAAGCGGATGGGGGGAAGACCTGGTGCTCACAATGTCACATTAATAATCTGTAAGTCTGGTTGGAGCAGTTCGCTGTCTATTCGATCTTCTCGGCTGAGTGAACTGATGAGCAGTCTGTGCTTCCATGTTACAATCATCAATTGGAGCACATCTCGGCTGAGTGGATTGAATGTTGCTATCTGTTTCTTCCATACTGCAATCATCATCATTAATTGGAGCACATCTCGGCTGAGTGGATTGAATGTTGCTATCTGTTGCTTCCATACTACAATCACCATGGAAGTCATCACTTGCCCCTTGTCTTAAATATTCATCAAGTCTTGAATCCTTGCTCATGATAGGAGGTGAATCCTTATCATGGCTATAAGTTGTAGAATCTCTGGGCCGATTTTGGCAATCTGCAGAATAGTCATCACCTGAGATATGGATGTTAGGCAAAGAAGGGTTGAACTTTAGTTGATCATGGTCTGCTGCATGATCTATCTGACCTGCCATCGGGAAGTAATCCTCAAAAAAAATCACATCCCTTGATATGAATGTTGATCCACTCTGTAAATCGTACAACAAATAACCCTTAATGTTGGCAGGCATGCCAACAAAAACACATTTTTTGCTACGAGAAGCCATTTTGTGTCTAGATTGAGGAAGAGTAGCTGCGTAACTGAGACAACCAAACACCCTTAACTTGTCAAGGTTTGGTTCCTTATTATGTAATCTCTGGTATGGGCTATCCCAGTCAATGACTGCCGATGGGACCCGATTAATGATATACGCAGCATACAGAATGCATAATCCCCAGAACTCGAGAGGCATGTTAGACTGGAAACGGAGAGCTCTGGCTACACTCAGAAGGTGTTGATGTTTTCTCTCGACTACCGCATTCTGTTGCGGCGTGTAAACACACGAAGTCTGATGCACAATGCCATTTTCACTAAAGAAATCTGCCATTTTGAACTCCATGCCATTGTCACTTCGGAGGATTTTAATATTCGCACTATATTGAGTCTGAACATACTTGTGAAAGCTTTTAATCACTGCTCTTGTCTCGGACTTAGTCTTTAATAAATGGATCCAAGTGTATCTCGAGTAATCGTCCACTATAGTCAAGAAGTAACGTTCTCCTTCTAAAGACTTAACTACGAAAGGCCCCCATATATCGGTGTGGATTAGATCAAAACATCTGTTTGTCGTGGTGCTGCTAAGAGGAAAAAGGTGATCATTTCTGCTTAGCATATTGGCAAATATCACATGGCATAGGCTTAGAGTTGGAGATAGAAATGCTCTGTATAAGATGGATTTTATTAATGGGAAAATGTCCCAAACGTTGGTGCCAAATCTCGGCATTATTACACTGCAAAACAAAACGATTACATGAGTTGATCTCCGGAGGTTGAATCAGCAAGTACAGGCCCTTATCTTGTCTAGCAAAACCAGTGATCTTCCCATGACTCTGAAGTTGAGACTGATCAGAATCAAATATCAAAGTATGAGATGAGTCTTTAAGCAATTTGCTAACTGAAACAATATTAAATTTGAATTCCGGAATATGTAAAGCTTCCTGTAAATGTAAGCCATCTGCCAGCTTTATATTCCCTTTGTGTCGAACAGTAACATTTTCTCCGTTTGGCAGATTCACAATTGTTCCTTCAACAACATCATAATCATCAAAAAATTCCCGAGAGCACACTATATGATCAGTGGCTCCCGAGTCCAGTATCCACATGTTTGAGTATAAATTGATAGAGCATATATGAGAGTTTTGGATGTACTTGCCTTCATCATGTGATTTAGCTTTGTCGAACTTGGGAACTAGGGATACAGCTGCAGTCACTGAGCTCTTCTTCTGCCCGGCCTGTGTTTGCAGAAGAGAGATTAGAGTTTGCAATTGTTCAGACGTCACCACATTGTTCGTCACCGCACTGTTCTCAGAACTTGCAGTAGCAGCCATGGTGGATGATTGTTTGCCTCTGGATTTGAAGCCCGGTATCCACCCTGGTGGATACCCGTGCTTCTTGTAACACTTTTCAACAGTGTGTCCAACCATGCCACAGTAGGTACATTTAGCGCTTTTATTCCCCCCATTAGAGTTCATGTTTCTTCTGCCATTGTAATAGCTCACAGCAGCAACAGTTTCTTCTGAAGTATTAGGTTCATGCAGAACCGCATTGGCATGGCTGATTTCCAGGCTTGAATTGTTAATGCCAAGTTGTCTTTCGAATTTCTCTGCCATCACGTATACTTTGTGCATCTCCGGTAAAGGATCTAGGACTAGAACGCTGGACTTAAGCGGATTGTAGTCTTCATGTAGACCTTGAAGAAACCGGATGATTTGATCGATCTCACGGTCTTTCCTCACTTGATCGATCAGATCACACGAGCAAGAGCAGTGCGGAATGCACTGGCAGATCGGAAGAGGACGCATCTCATTCATCTCCTCCCATAGAGATCTGCTCTTCTTGTAATACTCATTTACGGAGTAGTTTCCCTGCTTGAGCTTGTAGATCTCATCCTGCAGAACGCAGATCCGGTGCGGATCTCTCTGCGAGAACCTCTTCTTGAGGTCGTTCCAGACGTCCTTGGCTACATCCATATATATCACACTCTGCGCGATGGTTGGATGGACCGATTTGAGGATCCATGACTTGATCATCAGATTACATCTCCTCCAAGCGGCGTAATGAGGTTGAGTTTTCTCCGGCGGTTCGATGCTGCCGCCAAGGAGAGACCACTTGTTCTTCACTTCCAGAGCAGCTTGCATCGCTATGCTCCATGAGCCATAGTTGGAGCTTCCCGTGAGAGGTGGACTGACCAGGATATTATTTGGATTTTCATTGGTGCTAAGATGAAGTGGATTCTCGATGTCCTCTGCTAGGCCTCTCTGCGAAGCATTGTGCGAAGTTGCAGCGATCGAAGGTTGACTCATCGATGAAGTCGGATTTGGTGGTTGATTGGATTCGCCATTGCCGGTGATCACTACGGCGGCATAGCTAGTTCTCCACCGCTCTGATACCATGATGAAAAGGAATCAAGAGCAGGACATTGATGAAGTTTATTGATCAAGTGAAAAGTATGGGAATGGTGACTGAATTCGAATACAGAGAAGAGGCAGCTAAGCAGCATATATACAGAGAAAAGAAAAGGCGCCAAGGCCGTTATAACTGCCTAACAAACACGCTAAAGGAAAAGACTAATCTGCCCTTGTCTTCTTGCCTCCATGCTCTAATAGTTATGAATGATATTTTTGAACATTTTCTTATGTGAGTGTGTTTAAGCATGGAAAATGATCAAAGAAGGAAAACATGGGTGAATATGTTTTCATCTAGCTGTAGCCACCAGTTCGCAAGGCGGAGGAGATATTAGGAGACGCTTCAAAATTGTTTCGCCATGCATGTATGTACGTGGATGGCACCACGAGGAAACATAAAGCACTTTAGAAATCATAGAATCCATTTGAAATGCTGGGGAAAACGCGTGTCTCGCAGTTACAGAAGGTACCAACAAGGTTCAAAGCGCTGAACGAGTCATTACGAAGGTTAGCTGTGAACTTTATGGACGACCAGGATGCGTGGGTTAGTTATTGATTATATGGGTTGCCAAACTGCTAAGACAAACTGTTGGAGCACCCCGAGCACAGGCAGATTGTGCCAAAGAGACGAAGTTTATCATGATGGTCAGGTCATGATGTTCTCATTCTTTTATGGAGACATACATGCATGGCAAGCTGAGAGGAAGTGCATGCAAATTTATATGGCTTACAATAATTTGCGTAGAGCAAATGCTTAGAGGAAAAGTGTTTTTTTTTGCACAATCACAACCATGTACTAGAGTGAGCACAAGTTATACTATTAGTTAATTTCCGATTACCATTGAGAAACAAGGATAATAGCAAAAGTCCAGAGCTTTGTGGTTTACTACTTTGAGATGTATTTGTGTTGATTATTGTATACTCTTGATGTATCTCCAAAAAAAAAAAAATAAAAAGTGATCAAAGAATTTGGGTCTTGGCCAACCCCTTAAATGGTTCGATTGAGTTTGGGTCTCAGCTAGCTCTTCAAATGGTTCAATTGAATTTGGGTATCAGCCAGCCCTTTAAATGGTATAGTTGAGCTTGGGTCTCGATCAACTCTTTAAATTGTACGATTGAGCTTGGGTTTTTGCCAACTGTTTAAATGGTACGATTGAGCTTGAGTGCTGTAAAATTGAGTAGTCAGTTACCCCTCGGACGCGGGGCAGTTGACTGATTTTTACTAGTCTTTTTTGAATCCATGTAGGTTTGAGAACATAAAGTGTGATACTGAGGGACTGCCTCATAGAAGTTTGAGAGGTCAACTAACTTACGATAGATATTTAACTAATTGGTCTAGACCATACCCCTTCGAGGGGACGCATCTCGTGCAAATGCTTTTTATTTAATTAATGTCTCAAATTTTGCAGATAGTTAGTCTCAACATTCGACCATAGAAATATGGCAGGTAAAAGGAGTTGGAAAAATTGATGGTCTTACGGTTGACTGGAGGCCTGTAAAGGGAGTCGGCGCTCAGTTAAACGCGCCTCATTGTAAAAGGAGTTAGGAAAAACGCTGGTGTTAGGGTTGGCTGAGACTTGTAAAGGGAGTCGGTGCTAAATCACCTCGCACCTCCTTAATTATAAAAGGAGTCGGTAAAATATTAGATGCTTGCGATTGATGGAGGTTTGTAAAAGGGGTCGGCGCTCACTCAACTGCGCCTCCTTGTAAAAGAAGTCGGTAAAATATTAGATGTTTGGGGTTGGCTGGGGCCTGAAAAGGTAGTCGGCGCTTAGTCAACCGTGCCTCCTTGTAAAAGGAGTTAGTAAATTTTGATTCGGAACTCGGCTATGGAGGTGTTGAATTGATTTTGAGACACGACAATAATGTCCTTTCCCGAGTCATGCTTCCCGAGACACAAGAAAGTGATGGACTAATGATGGATACCCAGCCGACACCACCTATCAGGCAGTCGAGCAAGGTACTCGGACTCGTCAGTCAGCACTTGAGACGTAACCAGTCAATCTTGGCTCCCTAATTACCCTTCCATAACCTCTAATCTCATTAGTTGTCACCTCCCATTTATTTCCCATAAATCCCCTTAATTACCCATAAATTCCATTTATTATCCATAAATTACCTATTCTTCTACTATAAAATAGGAGAGTCAAATTCAAGAAAAGGACAACTCCATCTCTTGGGAGAGAACACAACAATACAGTATGTACAAATTATCAACAAACAAAATAGTAAATTTCTGGTTTGGCCCTACTCAATAAGGCCTGTGATTTTTACCTTTTCATTTCCACGTTAAAATTATTGTCTCTATTTATTTTTTACATTTTATTTCTCCTTCGACAAAACCAATATACATAATTTAGACATTATGTATTTTATGCCATTAGACTTTGTTGAGTTTCAAACTTTAATATTTTCTCCCAAATACTACAGCTAAACTCATGCGGACAATAACTCAATAACTTGTCCCACAGTTATATGCCGGCCAGTATTAATGGGAAATGTTACATTTTCAACTTACAAGTTTCAACGAGATCGTCCATTTGACTATTATGAATCATAAAATAATAAACAGCTCACCCTACTTTTCTTGGTTTGCTTCTTCTGCCCACCTTTCCTCTATATAAACTCTCTAACCTCCCTAGCTTAGCCCTTCATCAATAAATTAAGCCAATTCAATCTCTGGGCAACACACGTACAGTGAAGCTTCTCACTTCCATCAATCATTATATTGTCACCATGCATAACACTTCTTCTTCTTCTTCCTCATTCGGGCCTAGTGGGTTAGACCTGAGCCAGACGACCTTCTTCAAGCCCATTCCTAACACTGCTCCACCGTCTCCCACCAAGCGCCACACTAAGATCTCCGTCGTGGGAGTGGGAAATGTGGGCATGGCCGTCGCCCAGACCATCCTTACCCAGGGCCTCGCCGACGAGCTCGCTCTCGTCGACGCCAAGCCCGACAAGCTTCGCGGCGAAATGCTGGACCTCCAGCACGCCGCCGCCTTCCTCCCCCGCACCAAGATCCACGCCTCCGTCGACTACGCCGTCACGGCGGGGTCGGATCTGATCATCGTCACCGCGGGTGCGCGACAGAACCCGGGGGAAACCAGGCTTAATCTCATCGAGAAGAACTGCGCTCTGTTCAAAACCATCATTCCTCCGCTGGTGAAGCACTCCCGCCATAGCATACTCATGATCGTCTCCAACCCGGTGGACATTCTAACGTACGTTGCCTGGAAGCTGTCGGGGTTCCCGGCGAATCGCGTCATTGGGTCTGGCACAAACTTGGACTCTTCCCGCTTCCGCTCCCTCATTGCTGACCACCTTGATGTAAACGCTCAGGACGTACAGGTCAGTTGCTAGGGCTTTGTTTAGCAGGCTTAGTTGAAAAACTAAGCTAACTAAAAAGTTTGTAACTAATAAGCTTATTAATTGAAATTAGTGTTTAGTAAATTAGTTAAAAATAATTAAAAAATTTAAAAAATTAGAGCTTATTTTGAAACATTTCAAAATAAGCTACTATTTTAAACTTCTATTTTAAGTTAGAGCTTATTTTGGAACATTACTAAACAGAGCTTATAGTTTATTAGTAGCTTAAAAGAAGCTATAAGCTCATAAATAAGTTCCGCCAAACAGAGCCTATGTTTTATCAAACAGAGCTTATAGTTTATTTGTAACTTAAAATAAATATAAGTTCTAAAATAAGTTATATATATATATATAAAAAAAAAAAAAAAAAAAAAAAAAGGAGAAATTTTCAATTTTGGTCATATGATTATAGGGGCTTTGTTAATTTTAGCACTTGACTTTCAAAAGTGTCAATTTAGTACTTTGAGTATGTAAATTTTGTCAATTTTGGTCACTCCGATCAAATTACCAGCCAAATTTCGCCAAAAAAAAGACAATTTTACCAGACTTCAAAAGACGATTTTGCCCCTCAGATTATAGACTAAGTGAAGGATTAAGTTTTTCTGGCGAAATTTGGCCGGTAATTTAACCGTAGTGACCAAAATTGATAAAAACTACATAGTCAAGGTACTAAATTGACACTTTTAAAAGTCAGGTGCTGAAATTAACAAAGCCCCTATAGTCATATGACCAAAATTGAAATTTTCTCAAAAAAGAAGCCTATAGTCTTCCCCATCAAAGTGGATAGATATTGAGTGGATAGAATATTTTATGTTATACAATACAAACTCTTTTTAAAAGTGAATTTTATATATATATATATATATATATATATATATATATATATATATATTAGTGCAAATTCACGTTCATTTTCAATGTGCAATAAAAAATAATCAATCATTCTAATCTCAATTTTTTTAAACATGGGGTGTGGTTGAGTGGAAGGAATTCATCCTTGACCTTGGGTATGGAACTGCTTTGAGGTGCCTTCAATTTAGTTGTTAGGGTGGAAATCCTAAGTTACACTTAAAAAAATCTATTTCAATTCACCCATTATTTATTTTGATCTTCCAATATATTGATTTCTCACTCTAAAAAACATATATTCATTTTGATCCGACTCAAATTGAAAGTTAACCTTACATATACTTATATCACAAAATAACAACTTATAATATCATATCATTTTTGCTAAAATTAATAACAATTAGTGCTATATTGTATTGATACGGATGAAAACATATATGTTTCCATGCATTCAACTTGGCGCAGGCATATATTGTTGGAGAGCATGGGGACAGTTCAGTGGCACTGTGGTCGAGCATTAGCATCGGAGGGGTGCCAGTTCTGAGCTTCCTAGACAGGCAGCAAATCGCGTACGAGAAGGAAACGCTAGACAACATCCACAAACAAGTTGTGCAAAGTGCGTACGAGGTGATAAACCTCAAAGGCTACACTTCTTGGGCAATCGGCTACTCCGTCGCTAACCTAGCTCGATCCATTCTTCGCGACCAGAGAAGGGTCCAACCAGTCTCCGTGCTTGCTAGAGGCCTTCACGGCATTCATGGCGGCGACGTCTTCCTCAGCCTGCCGGCGCGGTTGGGGAGGAGCGGCGTAATAGGCGTCGCCGACGTGCATCTCACTGAAGAGGAAGAGCGGCGGCTCAACCACTCCGCTAACACCATACTGGAGGTGCAAACCCAGCTCCGACTTTAATTGCATGCTTTCCAATTTCCAGATTACTGTTCTTGTATGATGCAGATACTTTCATTATATTATATTGAAGCGTTTGAATATTTGGCTTGAGTTTATCCTATACGTTGTACTTCGATATCATGTTTACATACATACATTTGAATAAATGGAGTTCATATTTCTTTTGCTTGTAGCATAATTGCAGTACTTTTAGTTAGTCTATGTTGGGTGGAGGCCCGTAAAGGGCAAAGTTCGATCCAACAATTGGTAGCTAGGGAATTGTTGGAGAAGCTGATAACGGGTCAAGTCCAGCGTTATGCCTCTTGAAAATGTAATGGTCCCAGTGTATAATTTTTAGCGTAGTGGTAAGGGCTTAATCTTTATAAGCTTAATATAGTGTGAAAAAAAAAAAAAAAAAAAAAAAGCCTCAAACATTTACACCTTGTAGCAATTATATTCAAACTTTTAAAACTTAGAGATGTTGGTTTGATAGAAAAGATTTTTCTAGTCAATTTTTTAAAATTAAATTTGAGTAAAATGTTATTTTCTCTTGTTTGGTTCATTAGATTTATTTTTCAAAGGCAATAGAATTCCTCAAATTTGAGAAAAAGTTTTATTTGCATGCCAAACATTGGTATTTTAGTTTCTATACCAAAAAATAAAAAATAAAAAAATCTATGCCCACTTGATAGGACAATTCTGCCTTCATAGAATTTTCTTATTAATTACCCTTAGTGTAAGGATTTATTGGTAATTATATTGGGATGGCAATGGGTCGGGTGTGGGTCGGGGAGGGCTACATCCATCACCCGACCCACCTTATATTTTCTCCACCCACCCCCACCTCCAACCCGCATCGGGTGGACTTTTTCAGAACCCACCCCCACCCCCACCGAGTGCGGGTGCCCACTACGGGTACCCACCACTTATCATCTTATTATGTTTTTCAAAAAATAATATTTAAATTATTTACACATAATAAAAAAATAAAATCCATTAGTGATACTAAAACATAAATAATGGAAATATTTAAATATAATAACTAAATTGTTAATTTTAAAAAATAAACTTAGTAGTTTTGATATAAAAAATAGTAAAAAGATACACGGAGTTATATAAACTATTATAAATAACTACATACTAGTATTTATTTTACTATTATATATATATATATATATATATATATATATATATATACACACACACATGGTGGGTCGGGTGGGGTTCTAGGCGGGTCTTGTACATAGAACCCGAATCCAACCCGACCCACCGCGGGTTTTCTTTTTTAAGACCCACCCCCGACCCACCACCCACCATCACCCAAAAAAACCCGATCCATGCGGGATGGATTCGGGTGGATATCCACGGGTCGGATTGAAATTGCCATCCCTATATTTATACTCATTATTCCTTATAATTTTAAACATAACTAAACAATACAATCAATATTTTTAGTAATTTCTTTTCTACTAACCAAACAATGAAACCAGTGGTACAAAGTAGACATTTTCATACAATATGCTTTTTAAAATAATAATAATAACAATAATAATGTTATGTTTTAAATTTTTAAATAATTTGTGCATAAATTCAAGAAATTTAGGGTAGAATACATTTGTTCTTGAGTTGAAAATTATAATTGTTACAATGTATAAATGTTTAATTAATATTATTTTGTTAAATTTTAGAGGTTTTAATATAATTTTTATTCATAATTGGGTAAAAATACCACATCTAATTGAATATAATTGCGACAAAGTATCTATTTTTGATTTTTTTTTTTTTTTTTGCCACCAATAAAGGCTTTTAATAACTTGGAGAGTGTGGTTGAGTGGAAGGGACTCATCCATTTTTAACCAAAGGTCAAGAGTTCGATCTTTGACTTTGGGAATGGATTAGTTGTATATCTCTATGCCAGCTATCCCACCCAAAAGATGTGCATACAATTCAAAGAGTATCTCTTATCTTGAAAATCATTTTCTTGCATTTAAGAAAAAACAAATTTAGGTTAAGTTTTTTTTTTTTTTTTTTTTTTTTTTTTTTTTTTTTCGTTTAATTAATCTTCTTTCGATTATTTAGAACAAGACTTACTGAGGCTTGAACTCACAACCTCCCATGTGGGAATTTCAACCCGAGTGCCATCTGAGCACAAAGTGCTTGACTATTATATCATTATGTATTGTAACCATATATTTCGAATTATTTATTATCATCCTCTATTGGCAACAATTGTAGCAATTGTCATTGTCAAACTCCCAAAACAATTTGGCCTAACAACAAATGGAAAAAAAAAATAAAAAATCAATGACTCCATTTTTTGCGGATGAAAAGTAAGTACCCACTTTATTACTTTTATTAAATTAAATACATTAGTAGCTACAACAAAAAAGTAGTAGGGAATAATACATATGCATTTCTTTAATTTAGAATTAGATGTCTATAATGCCTTTATTCAAAAGAGAAAATTATTCATTATCAAAAAAATTAAAAAAGAAATATATTTTCATTAGTTATATTATCATTATTTTCTACAATTCAAAGATTTCTTAGCTTCAAATTCATTAATTAATTAAATATATTAACTACATTCTCCATTATTCTTTTTCCACTATCTTATAATTAAATATCGAGTTAATTACTGAAATGGTCTCTTGACTATAATGAAATTACTGATTTGGTACTTGACTACGTTTTTTGACCAATTAAGTCTCTCAACTTTAAAAATCTTAATCAATTTGATCCTCTGTTTGTTCGATCTGTTGTTAGACATCCGTTAACTCGGGATGAAATTAGTAATTTTGCTATAGTTAAGAGACCTTTTCAGTCATTACCAGAGGCGGACCCAGTATGACGGCAGTGGGGGCAGCTGCCCCACTCCCCCCACCCCACCCCTTTATATAATTATATATATGTATGTATATGTATACATATATAGCATGAAATATTATATAAAATCTATATTTATGTTGAAATTATTAATAGTTTGAGTAGCTTAGTTGGTTGAATTCCAAATTTTATGTTATAAAAACCTTATGTCACAGGTTCAAATCTTATTGGCAACAATTTTAATTATCTTCCCTCTTTCATTTCTTCACAAGATAAATTAAATATTTTTAGTCTACTTTTTATGAATCATTTAATTAACAAATTAAAATGCTCTTTTAGTCTAGTTTTTATAAATTATTTAATTAAGGAATAAGGTTCAAATTGGCCACTGAACGTAACCTGAAAATGCAATTAGGCCACTGAACGAAAAAAAAAGTGCAATTAGGCCATTGAACACTCAAAAAATGTGCAATTAGGCCATTGAACTCTCCAAACGTATGCAATTTTACCGGATAGCAGGTTACCATCAATTTTAGCAGGTTACCTGCTTACGTGGCAGCTTAGTTGGCATTTTTAATAATTTTTAAATAATTTTTAATAATTAATTTTAATAATAAATTTTATAAAAAATTGGAAAAAAATTAAATAAAAATAAAATAAAGTCGTTTTTATTTTTTAAAAATTTTTTTAATAAAAAGTTATTATTAAAATTTATTAAAAATTTATTAAAATTTATTAAAAATGCCAACTCAGCTGCCACGTAAGCAGATAACCTGCTAAAATTGAGGGTAACCTGCTATCAGGTGAAATTGCACATTTTTGGAGTGTTCAGTGGCCTAATTGTACTTTTTTTTCGTTCAGTGGCCTAATTGCATTTTCAGGTTACGTTCAGTGGCCAATTTGAACCTTATTCCTTTAATTAATGTAGTATACAAGTTTATAATATACTTTATTGTATTCGAATTAATTTAGAAAAATAAAAGAAATTAAAATTTAAAAGTATTTATGAATATATTGTTATTCAAATTATTTTATCTAATTGATTATGTTTCATATTTTCTCATTAAATATATTGTAATTTATATTTTAACTTTGTTATGATTGTTTGATACTTTGTCATTGCCATTTAATATTCATTTTTTGAATTCTACTGACTCTATTACAATGTAGTATCTGTTCATATATTTTCTCAACCTACTAAAACACACAAAGTCAATAACGCCTCCATTGAAGCACGAACTCAAAACTTTCCAAATGGAAATTCAACCAGGATACCATTAGACCACATAGTTTTGGTGCTAGCATAGTTAGTTAATTAGCAGAAAATGTAGCTTTGCTGCACCGAGATACCGCGCGTTCGACTTCTAAGTATCCTTTCCGGATCTGGGAACCGGGAACCGCCATTGCAGATAACAAAAACCAATCTTTACTGCATATTATATTAATGGTTGGAGTAGCTTGGGCCAGGGAACCTTTATCTCTTATATGTATATAGAAGGTCTTGAGTTCGAATATCGCATACTTAGCTTTGTCCTTTTTCGTCTCTCTAAAGTACTTCTTGTATATGAAAAGAATTTATCACTTTTCCATCTGATCTCTACAAGTGACCCAAATAGCGTATCGAAATCACATGATTAGCCGTGCATGCTTCTTTGTTTGGTTCATGTCTTCATGATACGTATAAAAGGAAATCAATAATGGGTGGTATAATTAGTGTAGAATCTAAAATGAATGAATTATATGTACTTAGAGGATATTTAAAAAATATTTGTATAATGAAATTATGTATATCATTACCTTGTATATATAGTTATTTTTTTATTTTTTTTTTATTATAAGGAAGGGGATATCCTACATCATATACACACTATTTGTCTCAATAAGGTTCGAACCCATCACCTCCCATCTAGGGGAGCAACCCGATACCAGTTAATAGGTATAGCAAATCGGGAATAAGCAGTTCAACCACCTGGCAAAAGTAGAGAAGCAATACCACTCGAGGCGACATTTAAGACGATGTGACCCTCAGAACGCAGAGCAGCTGATAATGTTTTCCAAACAAAGATTTTACCCGTTCCTCCGTACTCATAAACAAAAAATAAACCACACCCAGCATTCACAACATCACTAAGAACTGTGTCATAGACATGTCTCTGTTCATATGTCAATTTCTCTACCAAATTATCATGTTCAACTTTAAGAGAATCACAATCATATGAGAATTCTTCATCTAACAACGGATTTCCATGAGAAGCTGAGGAACTCATATTTGGCACAGGCATAGATGGAAAGCAAGACATACTTTTTCCCAATACACGTAAAGCTTTTCAATTTCCACCAAAGCATAGTTAGCCTTTTCTTCATCTGTTAGGATTAGACCTAAAAAAAAAAAAAAAATCGAAATGATACTTACATCTGACGATCCAATATAGCACAATCATGTTAATAAAATGTATGTATTTAAGCTACAAAAGAATATAAATAATAATAAAAAAAAACCTGGTTTATCTAGTAGTTTCCGTTGGTTAAACTCCGCATCTTCAGCTAAGAGTATCCATACTACCTCCCAAACAACTTCTGGTCGAATAAGAACGTTTGAAGTAAGCATAGTCACAAATAGTCTCCTCATAGAAGTTGCAGATGCCCATTTACTTGCTTCATTAATCGCATCAACATATTCCTTGTCATCTGCTAATAAACCACGGGCATAGCATGCATCTCGAAACGAACTATACTGCACCCCATCAACAATACGAAGATCTTCATAACATGTTGCACCACGAACCAAGTTCAACAAAAACCTTAGATAATAAATTTCACCAAAACCTGGCGGAACAAGGAACACACGTCCAATAGCAAACCCCTTACGTCTAAGATGTCACTCTCTAACATCCTTTTTCCAAACAAATTTGTTGGGCATCTGACCATAAGTTAACTCTTTAGCTTCTGCAAAATTTTTATTAGCTTCAAACCAAGCTAAAAACATACTTTCTCCAACACTCGGGCGACTCAAAATATTATCAACATAATCATCATCGCCATAAACAACTAATTGTTGATTAGGCAAATGAAAACTCAACCTCTCAACTGCAGGAACTGTGAATTGAATGTCAAATCCGAATAAACGCCATGTTCCTTCGCAATCAGATATGTAACGAAAATCATAGAACATAGATATCTCATCTACAACTTGACCTTTCTCTAAATCATCGGAACTTTTGTAAAAATGAGTTGTAACTCGATCATGCCTCTTGTTGACATACTTAAATAAGTACTTGATAGAACGGGACTGGTTACACAACTCAATATTGATATGTGCTCTATATTTAAGCAACAAATATTTGTTATGTGGCACAACAAATCTGTTATCCAGCTCAATTCCATTTTTCGTAACAAACCTTCCATCATCTCTTCGTCTATAAATGGGATAACCATTTTGATCAAAATTTGAAGAGTCTACAAACTTCTATGGAAAATGTTTAGAACAACGACCATTGACCATACACGGAGAATTCTTCCTAAGATGACCACAATGACCTTGAATCATAAACTCCTCAACAACCTTATAATACTCACTATCTACTTCCTTATTTGGAATTTCAGCTGAAATGATAGTATCAATATTTTGACATAAAGCTTGACCATCTTCTTGGCCCAGAAATATCAATATATGGGCATGCGGAAGTCCTCTTTTTTGGAACTCAACAGTATAAATAACTACATAAAGAAGTATTAAAACACAAATTAAAAATAAGATAAGAATGATTCTCATGTATATGTAGAAAAAGTAAAATACGTACCTGCAGTTACATTACCAAAAACTAATCCAGAACGGATCTCCCTAATCAACACATCCAATTTCATTTTAAATAAGCGACATATGATATCAGGTCGATCAATAGCACTCAAATGTCGCTCTCCCAAATACCTCTCTATTTCAGGCCACTTTGGATTACATGTAAATGTAATAAATAAATTAGGATAATCAATCCATCCACAAATCGCCAAGGCATCTTGATAGTTCTGAATCATATACCTAGCCTCACCAGTAAAGCTAGAATGAAGAATAACTCGTTTACCATGATGACCGGGATCAACATCACCTCGTGTTAATGCATCAGACAATCCCTGATAAGCTCCACACCTTAAAGATATTTGATTGGTGCGAATATACAATAATCGACCAGCTTCTACCATGGTGTAACCATCGACCAGAAATTGTTGAAATAATCTCCGAGCATATAAAATTGTTGAAACTTCTTATGAACGCTCATGAATACGAAAAGCAAGATACTCGCGAGGTGAAATACAGTGTCTAGATCCATTTTCAACTACTCGAACAATGTTGAAGCCAATATCCTCCCTAAAACCATCTTCACCATATGGAAACAACAATGGATACTGTCGTGGAAGATAAGCTGGATTGAGTTCACTAATCCTCTTCAACAATCCAGACTTTGTTTCCACTAATATATCTCGCTCACCGAGATGCGCATCCAAGTCCCCAACAATAAGTGCAGCAACTTCAGAAATTGTGGGCAAATTATATGTACGGGCATCTGTGCTACGCTTCCCAATCAACTTCATTTTAACTTCTACTCTTGGATTTGACTGGATTGCTTCTTTCACCATTCGAAATGATTTAACCAAAACATTGCAATCATCTAAAACAGCTTGGATATCAGCAACATTTTGAGGGTGTAAATCTTGTACATCACTTTCATTCCTTCAAAATTATAAAATTTACAAAGTAAAATGAATTTTAAAAGTTGATTAAACAAATATATTATAAAAACATAGGAAACAATTAGTATACATACCTGATAGCACTAATTCTATTCATAACTTCATTTTCAGAGTCATGAATGTATAGATGTGCGAATTTGGCTGAATTACCTTCAATGGGTAATAAACTCCCCATCAAATGAAAATTTTGACCGTGCAAGCGAAAGATTGGCGGAGATGATCTAGAATTTATTTGTTTATCAATTCGATCACCCATTGATGTAAAACTGAACATATTATTGTAAGATCGTATATTCTGCAATAAATTTTTACTTCTACGATCGCCACTAAAAAACAAATCAGATATCATTTTCGGCGGAGGAATGATAGGTGCCAACTTAATTTTTCCGTTACCACAACATATAGAATATTTAGGCAAACTATTCACCTTTACACTCTTTAATCTCTCATCATACCAAAACAATGCATCACAATGTTGACACTTAAAAGTCGGATCGCCATTGTCTAAATACACGCCTACAAAAAAAAAAAAATGTTCACAAAAAATGTACTTATATAAATACATGAACTTTTTTAGAACTTTAAGCTACCAAAGGTATACAATAGCTTTAACAATTTGTATCCAATTGATGGTCCTACAATAGCTTTTCGCTTAATTTGGACAGGTTGTTTACATACAATTGATGGTCCTATTGATAGTTTAATCTATTACTATAAGAATAAAATAAAGCACTATATTATAATGTAGAATTAGGAAAAAAATGCAAAAAATACATGCATCAGTTAAAATTTTTTTTTCCTTCGGCTTGAACCACAAACAATATTCAATACGATTTTAGAATTATCAGCAATGTCGACTGTATGATTACACACCAAACAAATCAAGTCACAATATAAATTTACCTAACATTTAATATAAAATTTTTAAAGAAAAAAATAAATTACCCGCTTCGGTGCTAGTACTCCCAATTAGCCTATTCAAACATTCAACATTAGAAGATATTGTAGTATTGATTTGATTGCCTACATTAAAGAAATACATTTTAAAAAATTTAAAAAGACAACATTTAATTTAAAATGTGATAAAATTAGTGTAGCACTTACAATTTGTTAATACACTCAAAGTCGTATAAAGAGAACTTTCAAACACCCCCAGAAAGCATGATTTATGTGCCTGAATCCCAATCCGATCGATCCTTCGCGTTGTGAATTGCTCAGGAGTTAAACTATCGACATTCTCTAAGAAAAATTCAAGATGAAATTGTTAATAATTTATTGATTCCCAAAATGAAAATTTTAAAAATATTTTCGAATTCATTATATCAAATAGACAAAATCCTTACTTGTAACATTATTTAACGTAATATTTAATTGGACAAAAGGGGAAAAAGTGTCAAAATGCTTTAAAATATATTATTATGATAAAGTCATTGCAAATTTCGAGATGAACAATTTATAAATACAAATATATTGAAGACAACTCAATAAAAAAAAATCACCTATTTAATAAATATATTAACAAAAGAATAAAAAGAATTCACACATTACAACATAAGAATAACAAAAAAAAAATAAAAATTCAGGAATAATTCCATTAACAATAACAATATTATGAATAATAATATTAATAATTAATAATGAATAATGAATAATAATAATGCAATACTATTAATCATAACAACAACAATGGGGTGAAACCCATCTAACCTACCCAACCCAAAACCTACCCAAAGCCCACATATCTAACCCTTCTTACCCAACCCAAAACATAACTCCAGAACTCCCTCTCACTCTACCTCCCTCTGCCTCGCTCTGTCCTCTCCTTCGCGATTCACCGTCTCCTTCGCGAGACCAGTACCATTCGCTATTCACGAACCTTAATCATTCACGAAAATAGAAGCCAACTACCTCTATTCTCTTCAATCCTTCAAGCTTCATCCTCTAAACCATGAAAACCTCTCGTCCTAGATGAATTAATCCGAAAATCGAAACCATAAATTGGAAGAAGTTCAAGCAAATCGTCTACTTTTGAAGCTTAAACTGGACCGGATCTTTTAAGAAACAATTTTCCCACATGCAGTAAGTTTTAATTGCTATTTGCTCTAAAATCTATTAATTTATTTATATACTTTTGAAACCCTAATTTCTATATATGCAGATGTACGTAGCTAAGCCCAAAAAGGAACAAATACACATTAATCAACAGTATCGAAGCCTAAAAATTCCAAAAAAAATATATGCAGAGAACATCTACGAAAAAGATAAGTTTATTTTAATTTTTTTATACTTCTCATATATATTTTTTCTTCTGTTTTATAAATTATTGTTACAAAAATCTTTGACTAAGTGTTGATTCATTTCTTATATATTAATGATATGAACCCTACATGATTTATTGTTGATAAACGCAACTAAGCCTGAGAAGAAAAAATTATGTGAGTGAAGAAAACCAAGTTGGCAGTACTCTTGGAAAACAGAACGAAACAACACATCCTCAACAGATAAGTCTAATTTGCATCTAGTACAATTTTTGGACTATTTTTTTTTCCTTTAGCTATATAATTATTAATTCCTTTACTTGTTTAGGCATTAATTGATGCGATTTTGAGTATTTATATGAAACTTGTATTTATGAAGTATAGTGTAATATAAAATGCTTTCATACCTTTGTTTGAAATCCCATACTTTCTCTTGCAAACAATCGTAGTAGATTTTTCTAACTTTCTCATGTTTGTTTAAGCTGATGCTTTGCATGAACAGTTACAGAGAACCTGCAGTTTGAAAGTATCTTCCAAGTGTTGGATCTTTATTTATAGTGGCAATAGCATTTGATTACCCTAGCACAACACTGATGAATACTTGTAAATGATTACTATTTTATAGCCTTTTGTTAGATTTGAATTTCATTTTTATTGGGAATGTAACAGTGCACTGATACTTGATTTTATTTTCCTCATATTGTTTAATTGTTTATTAGTTTATAAGATCAAATTTTGGCTTGACCTTCATACATGGTTTTCTGCATTTATCATTTTTAAATGAGTTTACAGATTAATAATATCACATGTCAAACTCATGACATAAATTGAGTATCGTATTTCATCTGCCATACATTATACCTTTGTTCATATATAAACTCATTGATTTTTATTACGAATCCAAAGTGCAGTCGTATCTGATTTGGATTTCTCCATAATGGTTAATTAGTTGTTAGTTTTTAATTTCAAAATTTTACTTCATTGATAACATTGATCAAAGCAATTTTTTTGGGGTAAATGAGCCTAAAAATTATATAATCCCTATTGTCAAACTATTTGGTTTCAACTGGAAATCCCTACCTAAACGCTTTCATACTATCATTCTAACCTAGTCCTATTCTTTCACCCTAAAATAAGTTTTTTTTTTTTCTTTTTACTTATAGCTTAAAACTTTTTTTACATAAATTATTGAGTTTGAATGTATAACACATGTACTAAGTTTGGTTAAATAAATAGGATTAAAGGTTCCACAGATACTTTTAATACAACACTAAGTTAGAATTTCATCACTCCAGCTTAGTAGATCTGTAACTCATGGTTATTAGTGTATTAAAAAACTAACCTAGAACCTGCTTAGATCTGTAACCTTTTGTCATATTCTTACTGAAATCTGTTTACTAATTGAGTAAATTTAATTTGTATTCTTATTTGATAAGTTCATGCCAACTTAACTTATTAAGTACTTATATTTTTACTTGATAAGTTGTAATTTAGTACACAGATAGACAACATTTTTTTTATAAGTAGCCAGACATTGATAGTTCATCTTTGCAGTTGTTTTCAGATACAAAGAGACCTGGATCTGGATCTGAATATAACAAAACAGTTGGCATCAAATAGTAGGCAAGATTCAATAAGTAAGTTTATTTTCAAATAATCCAAAAGATTTTACATTTACTTATAGATGTTATAACTTCATTAATATGTATTTAATTATCTCATTCCAGATAAAATCATCAAATGAAGATAGAAGTCCTAAAGCATCATAACATGAAAAGGTATGTACAACTAAAACCACCTCATTAGTTAGTACTATTTAAACTGGAAACATAAATAAAATAAACTTGAGCATAGAAATACCAAACAAAAATAAGTAGACATAATATTCATATTGTCCATAGAGTCCCAAAACATAAGACAGAATTGAAAAGTAGTACATAGGCTGACCCCATTAGGGAAACATTACAAAACATAGCATAAAAATCGCAAAAGCATTACATTTTTTCCAACTTATAGACTGAAGTATTAAGTCTATTAGAGTAGTAAGGCTGATTGAATTCATCCATTAGAGACCTCTTCAGTGTGCTAAATAAAAACAGCAATCGCATTACATTTTTTTCCAACTTAATCACCAAAGTCTTAAGTCTCTTAGAGTCATCAAACTGATTGAATCCATCCATTAGAGACCTCTTC